AATCGGCTTACACGAAGACGCACCGTGAAGGTGGTCGGATTCAAATGGATTCAGATAAGCGGCTTACGGCTAATTTTTCATTTAATTTTTCTGCCAAGCTTCCATTAGGGCGGTGCAATTGCCGCCGCTTGATGTGGCAAGCTTTCGTTGTCAAGACTATCAGTGCCTTGGGTACGAGGTGCTTTCCACACGAGGTAATGATAAGGCCACGTCACACACAATGAAACGATTTTTCCTGCAAAACTCCATAGCTCTCCTATGTGCGCTTCATTTACACCGCATTCTTGCACATCTGGCCCTGTGCCATCACCAGCCACTCTCTCTACACACTCTCTCTTGCACTTTCTCAAATTATGTACTTCCTACCCTCGTGCTACGCAGGGTAGCCACCTCGACCTCTTCGCACCCACCTGCCATCTTAATCACATGCCTGAGGGTGATGCAGAATTTTACTCCCCACACATCATTTGCGGTCCGCAATGTCTTCGCGCCATGCGCACGGTGCACTGGGATATCTTCCCCTTGCATTCGGGTCATCTTCTCATCACCCGCGTTCACCGGCCACCTGACACATTAGAGAAGCAGCGACCACCAAATGGACACGACGTTTGTGGAACAGCGCATTATATGAAACTCACAGCAGTCACCGGATTTGAAAAGACAACAAAGAAGGATGAGCGGAGGCTGGCATTCTGATGTCCTACATTAATGTCTACACCAGTTTGACTGGATGCATTCAACAAGGCCAAAAATGAGATGGGAGAGATCTGGTTCATGTAAGATGTGGGAGATGACAAGTTGATGTCGGATAACGTTGCAGCACACGAATGGGACATATTCATGCTGTGGAAGAATGAGTCTGGACAAGACTGCAACGGATTCGTGTTTGTGGCACTGTGGCCGGGGATGTGGCTTATCCTCCTCCTTGTCCCTCTTCAATCAGCAAAGTGCATTGGAGGAGGTGCCCTTGTTGTATGCAGCCAACTGCAATGCAGAATCCGCTCTACAAATCCCAAACGGTGATCGCTTCAGTAACATTGACTGCTCTATACTGGCCCTCATCTCTTCCACTGTGCACCCACGATGATCAGAACCACACTCAGAACATTTCGCGAACCATGCCGACCTCGACTAAGAGGTCAAACAATTTCTATGCATTGCTTATGATCTGCTGATTGAATTGCTTACTTTATTCCAGTAGGTGACAGCGAATTGAAGTGAATCCAACTGCAATCTGTCGTCACTAATAATTCACTGACTGGAACCGCACATTGGAATATGCCATCAGCCCATCATGCATCGCACGTAGTCTGCAAATGCGGGCGAAGCATTCGAAGGTGCGGCAGGCAGCAGAATGTGGTGTACGAGCAAAGGTGAGTGACGAAACACTCACCCACCTTAAGTTTATCATAATGCAGACACTTACGTAGAGATTTGCAGGACACAAGGATGATTCCCCCTATCACTGCTTGTCTAGATGTGCCATCAAGTTAATTACGAATTCAGCAAGTTTCCAGAGAATTATAGTTCCGAATCTGTGTTGGTAGCAAGGTTGAATGAGAAGCGTCATG